GTTTCTCAGTCTATTAGAACTAATAGTCAAATTACACAGAAAAATTCCAAAGGCTCAAAATCAACCAAACCTTTACATTCATTTGCACCAAGTAATGCATCATTTAAACCTCTGGAGCTAAAAATTATAACAAAACTTACTACTTTGTCAAGGGTACAAAATAAGAGAAAAAAATTGATACAACATTTGACCCAGTAGTGCTAGATGTTAGCAAAAAGAAGGCTTTATTAACTACTAGTGTGCGTGAGTTTTGGTAACTTGTTCTCTGGGCTGCAATTTTCAGTGTTAAACAAAGTGCAAAATAAATAATTTGATGTCAACTATGTAGGTTATTTTGCATTTTAAATGAATGTAAAGGTTTGGTTGATTTTGAGCATTTGGAATTTTTCTGTGTAATTTGACAATTTGATCTAATAGACTGAGAAACTCTTCCTGATGTACTAGGCATTGGTCTAGGTAGAGGTGGTGGAACATATTTTAATGGGGGTGCACAATACCAGCAACAAAAAGTTTTTCATTGTGCAGCAGCTTCTTTCTTTTTTCCCCCTTTTCTTCTTTCCATTTCTCCAACTGCATTCTTTTGTGTTCCACCTCTTTCTGACTCTCAGACGCGGGGTCGGGCACTTCACATTTGGGCAAGTTTCGTATATTGTCAAAAGCAGACAGTCTACTATTTTTTCGATGTATAATATTCCTTTCTATGCGCTTTTGAGCCTGTAAGATCATGAATATCGATTGCATTATTACGTAAATTGTGGCAATAATAATTACCCTTTCTAGTTTTTAAAAGAATTTACTAAAATACCGTCTTCATGATTGAAAATGAGCAAATTAATGCTAACAAGTTATAATACGATTAACATTTGCATTAATTTGCATTGACAGCTACGCAGCGTGACCACTTGTAAATGAGGGAATCTACCAAAGACACTGCTAAAATCTACTGAAATCTACTAGGTCGCATTTTAAAATCTACAAATTTTTAGAGTAATGTTTTGATTCGAATTAAAACACATTTGTTAATGAACCCTACATGTAATCAATTATTTACAACTATCATTTTTGTATTAATTGTCAATGTCATCGAATTTTTTAACATTTTTATATAACTGTTTCTCATTTTTCATTGTTTCCAACATTGAAGTACCAGGTTCACCAAACATAACATTTGTTGCACTCACAAGAACTGCACACAAAGATCTTAAAAATTCTTGACACCTTTTAAAAATATCTTGAAGCTATTGCGGGGGGCATTTGATTGCGATGTAATTCTAAATGTTTGGCAAAATTAACACCCAAATACAAATGGTTTAAGGGTAAATAATTTACGGAAGAATTGGGGTCAATATTCTTCATTGATGTGGTTTTTACATATTGGCTCTTCATATAACAGCTCAAAATGGAGACAAATATGGCTCGCATGTCATTGTACAAGCGATGCACGACAGGTTAATGGCAAATCGTGTTGAATTTATTTGTGAATGGTAATATATAATCAAGGAAACATAAATATAGTTTTATAGTTTCGTCATTTAAGGCATTATAAAGAAATTCCGCAGATGCATTAAAGTTTCTATCTCCCAAATACTGTCCCTGAAAATATAATTTCAATAGAAACAGAAACAGAAACTTTTTTATTCAATGTAGATTATAACAATACTTATTGAAAGTCACTTTTTTCATTTACCACTGGTTCGCAAAAAAAAACCTCTGTCCTGGGAAGAACCAGCAAGAAACCCAGCGGGACTATTTTTTTCCAATAATAGCTTACAATGATGTTTACAATAAACAACACAAGACAAATTAGAAATAGCTTGGTAGCGATCACCCTTCCCAGGGGTTATTATCATCCATAAATTCCTTAATATTATAATAACCCTTTTTATACAAACTTAGTTTAATAACATTTTTGAACTTCGTGTATGACAAATTTTGTATATTTTCTGGGATTTTGTTGTAAAAGCGTATACATCGCCCCAAGAATGAATTACTGACTCGGTGGAGTCGAGTAACTGGTACTACTAGCTTGTGTCTGTTCCTGGTATTTACCGAATGAATATCACTTATTTTCGCAAAACTACTTTTATTTATGTGTTAATACTATTAATTTCCTTAAATTTTTGTCTCAGTGACTCTTTTGGTTTTAAATTATATATTGCTCTAATGGCCCTCTTCTGTAAAACAAATATAATTTCAGTGTCAGTCGCGTGACCCATAGCAAAATACCATACGACATAATGCTATGGAAATAACTAAAGTAAACTATTCTATCTGTTTCAACACTGGTAAGAGTTCTAATCTTTTTCACAGCATATGCTGCAGAATTTAGCTAGTTTTGATATATGGGGGAGCCATTGAAGCTTTGCGTTCAGTGTGATTCCAAAAAAATGGTGGTATCAACAAGACTCAGTTGCCCCCCATTTAAAATTACATTAGTATTGACATGTTTAACATTAGGATTTACGAATTTCATACATTTAGTTTTAGTTCCATTCAAATGCAAATTATTAACATTAAACCAATTGACTAACTTAGCTGTAGCATTATTTACTTCGTCGTAATTTAATAAATGTCGTTTTAATTTGAAAATTAATGAAGTATCATCAGCAAATAATACTATATCATGGTTATCCCCTACTATGTAAGGTAAGTCATTAATATATACTAGAAATAGAAAAGGGACGAGAAATGAGCCCTGAGGCACGCCCATTTGTACAATCGACCCGGAAGAACTCATACTATTAATGACAACTTTTTGCGTTCTGTCACTTAAATATGAAATAATTAATTTAAGAGCATCGCTTCTTACACCGTAGTGTTGAAGTTTCCTGATTAATGTTTCATGGTGAACACAATCGAAGGCTTTGGATATGTCACAGAATATACCCAAAGCATCCTGTGAATTCTCCCATGCATCAAATATATATTTAATCAGCTCAACACCAGCATCAGTTGTCGAGCGACCCCTTAGAGAGTACTTTTTTCAAAAATTTTACTAAGTGTTGGCAGTACAGAAATAGGTCTAAAATTAGGGGGTCCAATGTACTACCAGATTTAAATAAAGGTATTACTTTACTTTGCTTCATTAAATCAGGAAACACACCAGATTCAATACTTGTATTAAAAATAATAGATAGTTGAGGTGCGATCGAATCTATTATAGACGCAATAACTTTAACAGAAATCCCCCACAGATCGGCGGTTCTCTTAATATCAATAGTCTTAAAATATTTTACAATATCTTTTGATGACACTTTATGAAATGTAAAATTCTTTGTATACACATTTACATTTTGTTTAAGTAATGATTCGGCGACGGCAGGAGAATAATTCAGTGACTTAGTGGTTAAGATCGGAATATCACTAAAATATTTCTCAAAAACCATTGCAACATCCTGATCTGATTTAGTTAATTTATTGTTAAAACTTAACTGGTAGTTTGAATTGCGAGAGTTGACCTTACCAGTTTCACTATTAATTATACTCCATGTAATTTTAATTTTATTAGAAGCAGTCTTTATTTTGTTGCTCAAATACAATGACTTGGCTAAGGAGCACACTCTTTTAAATATTTTGGAATATTTTATTACATATTCCCTAAATTTGACGCTAGGATTATATGACCTTTCATTGTAAAGTTCATATAACCTTTGTCTACTCTTATGGACTCCTACTGTCGCCCATTCATTAAATGCTTTGCGATTGTTCAAGGAGAATGTTTTAGAAGTAAAAGTATTATTAAATCCATTGCAAATAAGCTTAAATAATGTCCCATACAAAAAATTTGGATTATTTTGGTATGAAAGTAATGGAAGTTTTTTTACTATGTTACTTCTAAACTTCTCCAAGCGATGTGCATTTACTGGAACAAGCGCTACTTTTTTATCTATTTGCATTTTGTAAACATAAGGTAATGAAACTAATTGTCTACAGTGATCAGAGCTCAATTTTTGAATTATACATTTAGGGAATGTTATCTATACATGTTGCACTAGATTGAGCAATACGTGTTGGCTCCAAAAATAAATTAATAAGACCATGAGATTTAAACAATGATCTAAATTTAATATTGGTGGAGGAAGCTTCTAGGAGATTGATATTAAAGTCTCCACATATTACAACAGATTTATACTGTTTATTAAGCTTAGCGAAAACTTCCTCCATGATTTTTTCGAAAGTATCATATAAAGAACATGGGGGTCTGTAAACGCTTACAATAATGAGGTGCTCAAACTCAACACATGCCATTTCTACAGTTCGCTCAACAGAGAGGCTCACAATATCTTTACGTTCTTTACATGATAATGCTTTAATTTTTCCTGGCGCAGGTGGAGTTGAAGCCGTGGAAGAAGGCGGACCTTCCGGTGGTGCCGCGGATGTTTGCGAATACGTTCCCGTGGCCCTCCCTATATGCGGCGAAAGTCGAACACCCCATTTAGATTTTAGATATTGATATGACAATACATTATATTGACAATATATTAAAATTAAATTGAATGTTATTGATCCTAATGGTTTCTAGTTAGTTATTTCTTTTTTGAAACTCTCTCATTTTAATTTAGTTACATAACAAATTCAGAGTAAAAAAATATCATGAACCATGCTTAAATTTTTAATACAATATAATTAAAAATACATTAAAAACATTAATAATAACATACATAATATGTGCTAGGTACTTTAAAAAGTCGTCTAGATCACGAGCGTCGTCGTACTGTAATTTAAGGTTCTAAGGGAAATTAGCGTTGTAGAATATAGACTAAATATCAAGTGTTAATTTTGCCAAACATTTGGAATTACATCACAATCAAATGCACAATGCGAGCCATGTTTGTCTCCATTTTGAGCTGTTATACGAAGAGCCAATATGTAAAAACTACATCAATGAAGAATATTGACCCCAATTCTTCCGTAAATTATTTACCCTTAAACAATTTGTATTTGGGTGTTAATTTTGCCAAACATTTAGAATTACATCGCAAACAAATGCCCCCGCAATAGCTTCAAGATATTTTTAAAAGGTGTCAAGAATTCTTAAGATCTTTGTGTGCAGTTCTTGCGAGTGCAACAAATGTTATGTTTGGTGAACCTGGTACTTCAATGTTGGAAACAATGAAAAATGAGAAACAGTTATATAAAAATGTTAAAAAATTCGATGACATTGACAATTAATACAAAAATGTTAGTTGTAAATAATTGATTACATGTAGGGTTCATTAACAAATGTGTTTTAATTCGAATCAAAACATTACTCTAAAAATTTGTAGATTTTAAAATGCGACCTAGTAGATGTCAGTAGATTTTAGCAGTGTCTTTGGTAGATTCCCTCATTTACAAGTGGTCACGCTGCGTAGCTGTCAATGCAAATCAATGCAAATGTTAATCGTATTATAACTTGTTAGCATTAATTTGCTCATTTTCAATCATGAAGACGGTATTTTAGTAAATTCTTTTAAAAACTAGAAAGGGTAATTATTATTGCCACAATTTACGTAATAATGCAATCGATATTCATGATCGTACAGGCTCAAAAGCGCATAGAAAGGAATATTATACATCGAAAAAATAGTAGACTGTCTGCTTTTGACAATATACGAAACTTGCCCAAATGTGAAGTGCCCGACCCCGCGTCTGAGAGTCAGAAAGAGGTGGAACACAAAAGAATGCAGTTGGAGAAATGGAAAGAAGAAAAGGGGGGAAAAAGAAAGAAGCTGCTGCACAATGAAAAACTTTTTGTTGCTGGTATTGTGCACCCCCCATTAAAATATGTTCCACCACCTCTACCTAGACCAATGCCTAGTACATCAGGAAGAGTTTCTCAGTCTATTAGATCAAATTGTCAAATTACACAGAAAAATTCCAAATGCTCAAAATCAACCAAACCTTTACATTCATTTAAAATGCAAAATAACCTACATAGTTGACATCAAATTATTTATTTTGCACTTTGTTTAACACTGAAAATTGCAGCCCAGAGAACAAGTTACCAAAACTCACGCACACTAGTAGTTAATAAAGCCTTCTTTTTGCTAACATCTAGCACTACTGGGTCAAATGTTGTATCAAATTTTTTTTCTCTTATTTTGTACCCTTTACAAAGTAGGAAGTTTTGTTATAATTTTTAGCTCCAGAGGTTTAAATGATGCATTACTTGGTGCAAATGAATGTAAAGGTTTGGTTGATTTAGAGCCTTTGGAATTTTTCTGTGTAATTTGACTATTAGTTCTAATAGACTGAGAAACTCTCCCTGATATACTAGGCATTGGTCTAGGTGGAGGTGGTGGAACATATTTTAATGGAGGGTGCACAATAATAGCAACAAAAGGTTTTTATTGTGCAGCAGCTTCTTTCTATTTTTTCTCTTTATCTTCTTTCCATTTCCCCAAATGCATTCTTTTGTGTTCCACCTCTTGCTGACTCTCAGACAATGGGTCAGACACTTCACATTTAGGCAAGTTTCATATACTGTCAAAAGCAGAGAGTCTACTACTTTTTCAACGATGTATCATATTCCTTTCTAAGCACTTTTAAACATGTAAAATCATGAATATCGATTGTAATATTATGGAAATTGTGACGATAATAATTACCATTTTTAGTTTTTAAAAGAGTTTACTAACATACCGTATTCATGATTGAATATGAGCAAATTAATGGTAACAAGCTATAATACGATTAACATTTGCATTGACAGCTACGCTCAGAATTTGTGTAGGTCTAGGTTTGTGCATATGCTTCTTCTCTTGATTCTTCAATAAAGAAACCATATCAACTCTTACAGGTTCAAAACCGCTTAGAAAGGAATGTTATACATCGAAAAAGTAGTAGACTGTCTGCTTTTAACAGTATGTGAAACTTGCCTAAATGTGAAGTGCCGGACCCAATATCTGAGAGTCAGAAAGAGGTGGAGCACAAAAGAGAGCAGTTGGAGAAATGGGAAGAAAAAGAGAAAAAAAGAAGCTGCTGCACAAAAAAAAACCTTTTGTTGCTGGTATTGTGCCCCCCCATCCCCTTTAAAATATGTTCCACCACCTCCACCTAGACTAATGCCTAGTATATCAGGGCGAGTTTCTCAGTCTATTAGAACTAATAGTCAAATTACACAGAAAAATTCCTAAGGCTCAAAATCAACCAAACCTTTACATTCATTTAAAATACCTACATAGTTGACATCAAATTATTTATTTTCCACTTTGTTTAGCACTGAACATTGCATGAGCCCAGTTAACGAGTTACCAAAACTCACGCACACTAGTAGTTAATAAAGCCTTCTTTTGGCTAACATCTAGCACTACGGGGCAAATGTTGTATTAATCTTTTTTCTCTTATTTTGTACCCTTGCCAAAGTAGGAAGTTTTGTTATAGTTTTTAGCTCCGGAGGTTTAAATGATGCATTACTTGGTGCAAATGAATGTAAAGGTTTGGTTGATTTAGAGCCTTTGGAATTTTTCTGTGTAATTTGACTATTAGTTCCAATAGACTGAGAAACTCTCCCTGATATACTAGGCATTGGTCTAGGTGGAGGTGGTGGAACATATTTTAATGGGGGGGTGCACAATACCAGCAACAAAAGGTTTTTTTTTGGGTGCAGCAGCTTCATTCTTTTCTTTTTCTCATTTTCTTCTTTCCATTTCTCCAAAAAGTAGTAGACTCTCTGCTTTTGACAGTATATGAAACTTGCCTAAATGTGAAGTGTCTGACCCATTGTCTGAGAGTCAGCAAGAGGTGGAACACAAAAGAATGCAGTTGGGAGAAATGGAAAGAAGATAAAGAGAAAAAATAGAAAGAAGCTGCTGCACAATAAAAACCTTTTGTTGCTGGTATTGTGCACCCCCCATTAAAATATGTTCCACCACCTCCACCTAGTCCAATGCCTAGTATATCAGGGAGAGTTTCTCAGTCTATTGGAACTAATAGTCAAATTACACAGAAAAATTCCAAAGGCTCTAAATCAACCAAACCTTTACATTCATTTGCACCAAGTAATGCATCATTTAAACCTCCGGAGCTAAAAACTATAACAAAACTTCCTACTTTGGCAAGGGTACAAAATAAGAGAAAAAAGATTAATACAACATTTGCCCCAGTAGTGCTAGATGTTAGCCAAAAGAAGGCTTTATTAACTACTAGTGAGCGTGAGTTTTGGTAACTCGGTCTCTGGGCTGCAATGTTCAGTGTTAAACAAAGTGCAAAATAAATAATTTGATGTCAACTATGTAGGTTATTTTGCATTTTAAATGAATGTAAAGGTTTGGTTGATTTTGAGCATTTGGAATTTTTCTGTGTAATTTGACAATTTGATCTAATAGAATGAGAAACTCTTCCTGATGTACTAGGCATTGGTCTAGGTAGAGGTGGTGGAACATATTTTAATGGGGGGTGCACAATACCAGCAACAAAAAGTTTTTCATTGTGCAGCAGCTTCTTTCTTTTTTCCCCCTTTTCTTCTTTCCATTTCTCCAACTGCATTCTTTTGTGTTCCACCTCTTTCTGACTCTCAGACACGGGGTCGGGCACTTCACATTTGGGCAAGTTTCGTATATTGTCAAAAGCAGACAGTCTACTATTTTTTCGATGTATAATATTCCTTTCTATGCGCTTTTGAGCCTGTACGATCATGAATATCGATTGCATTATTACGTAAATTGTGGCAATAATAATTACCCTTTCTAGTTTTTAAAAGAATTTACTAAAATACCGTCTTCATGATTGAAAATGAGCAAATTAATGCTAACAAGTTATAATACGATTAACATTTCGTCGTTGCGCGTGCAATACCGCGGAAGAGCAGTTTGTAAATACCGCGTAACAGCAAAAAGTGCAAAATTGAAATTTCGCGGCTACAGACCCTTAGCGCTGATTCGCTTATACTACTTCTCACACAATTTGAATTAGCCAATAAGAAACGTCATATTTCAATCAAAACAATACCGCGTAACAGTACTTGCGTTTGAAGTTGGCTGCAAATCCGCGTATTTACGAAATGGGCGAACAAATTGAAACACGATTAGTGCGTGCTCTCGAAAATAATTATTTTGTAGTGAATAATAACCACGTAAGTACGTTTTTATTCTTTATAGTGTTTAGTTTTTAATGTATTTATGCTTGAATAGAGTAATTAAGTACAATTCTTTAGTATTTTTATGATTGTGAGTAATAATAACCTGTAACACGTAGTTAAGTGGTATTGATACTACATTATACTAGTTGTGTTTATCATTTACGCGGTATTGCATTATATTAAATTTATGTTTTTTTTTAGATACAAATAATTTGAAGTAACCGAATAATGATGGAGGACGGAGAAAATGAAGAGTTATTTTTAGAGAATGTTGATATTAACGATGACGTGGTAACTTTAAGAGATCTATTTGAAAGGCGAAAAATATTGTTGCGAAAAAAGAAGGAAATATTGAATAAACAATATTATGCAAATAAACTTGCTGCAGAAAATCAGCAACAAGAACTAGTTTCCGTTCCTTTGTCAGGGGAATTAGAGCAAGAACCTCCGAACCAAAATTTGACATCCGAATTGACTACGCTTACAACAATATTGGATACTACTTCAACACAGAATAGAGATGAGAATATTACTTCTATTGATGTAAACATTAATATAGTGGAGCCTAATAAAAATGACCTTGAATTTTCGTCCGATGATTCAGTCACTGATCCTTCATTTGTCGCCCTCTCACACATAACAAATTTAAAGCCACTATCACCAGCAAATACGGAGTGGTTTCCCGAAAGGGAAATAGAAAATACGGCGAAGAAAAATGGAAGAAAGCGGAAAGGGAATCCTAATAACTGGAAAAGAATAATAAATAAGCGGCAAAGGATGATGGGCGAGGAATACATTGGATTTAAAAAAGATGGCACTAAATTCGTTCAAAATGATCCTAAACCCGCCAGAATAATGGGTCCAATATGTATGTCGAAGAGATGTTTCAGTGGTAAAGCTATGTATTGCCCAAAGTTAACAGAAGAAGTGCGGTCAGAAATTTTTAAAACCTATTGGAAAATGAGTTGGCATGAAAAGAAAATGTATATAGCTTCAATGGTGGATAAGACACCTACAACTAGAAAAACTAAGAACTCAAATTCAAGGCGCAGTGACACCAAAGTTTACTATTTAAAAGTAAACGATAAAAAGGAAAGAGTTTGCTTAAAAACATTTTTGGAAACATTGGGCATAAAAGAATGGACAGTTCGATATTGGCTAGGAGAGAAGACGACTATCGACAATGAATCTGAACCAAGTGCTGTAGTAGCCACAGAAACAAAAAAAGAATCAGCCAGAAAATACTTGATGGCGCTACCGAAACTACCGTCTCATTACTGTATACAATCTACTTCAAAGCTATATTTAGAACCCATCATACAAACAAAATCACAATTGTATCGTCTATATGTAGACTACTCAGTTTCGCGAAATGAACCTGTGGCCTCTAGGAAGGTATTTGAAGGGGTTTTATTCGAAGAGAACATCAGTCTATTTCAACCAAAGAAAGACGCATGCGACCAGTGCTGCGCTCACAAAGCAGGTAACATGTCAGATGAGCAGTATATAAAACATATTGAGCTAAAAGACTTAGCTAGAATTGAAAAAACCCTTGACAAAGAAGCAGCACGGAAAGGGACGATACATGCATTAACAGCAGATCTTCAAGCAGTCAAATTGTGTCCTTCACTCAACGCCAGTGCACTATATTTTAAGACAAAACTTGCCGTCCACAACTTTACAATTTACAACCTGGGAACTAATGGAGTCGCGTGTTACTGGTTCGACGAGACGGCATGCGACTTAAAAGCTACTACATACGCATCATTTCTTGTAGATTATTTAACTAAATTACTGGAAAATGATCCAAAGGATGTAGTATTGTTCACAGATGGCTGCACAGCCCAGAATAGGAATAATATTGTGTCGAATGCGTTGTTGCGTTTGGCCATGGCCAAGAACATAGTTATAACTCAAAAATACTTGGAAAAGGGCCACACTCAGATGGAAGTCGATTCGGTGCACTCGGTGATCGAAAGAAAATTGAAAAATCGAGAAATATTTCTACCCTCACAATACGCAACAATCACGAAGGAGGCCAGAAAAGTGCCGAGTTCTTACCAGGTTATTACTCCTGATCATACATTTTTTTAAAAACTTTGCTCATAAAGATCACCTCATTTATGATTCAATAAGACCTGGTCGTGGGGCGGGTGATCGTGTCGTCATGGACGTAAGGGCCCTAAGATACAGTCCTAGTGGGACAATTGATTTTAAACTCCACTTTGTAGACGATTTTGTTCCTTTACCTAGGAGATCAAAAAAGATATTATCTGACTCTTTAATTGATTGCGTAGGTCCATTTTATGAATCCAGACAAACAATATCCAAAACAAAGTATGATCACCTACAGGAATTGAAGAGTGTCATACCTAAAGACTGTCATAGTTTTTATGATAATTTACCTTTTAAACAATATTCCTAATAACCAAGATCTTAAATGCTGTGATTATTAATCGTTTTAATGAGAATTTAAGAACTAAGATAATAGAAGTACTTCTACGTCTAAGATAATAAGAATATAAGAGCATCAGGTGTAATGATTGCCATATTTAATTGTTAAAGCTTTTAATAAAAAAAAATCGTATTCGTCTAAGAAACTAATTAACAAAGATTGAAATACTGGGATTTTAGAAGATCGAGGAGGCTGATTAGTTTATTATTCCTAATTAAGTGAACGTAATTGTTTTATTGTAATTAGAGAAATTCAGGGATTGTGTGATTAAATTGATATCTAGAGTAAGAGTTATTGTTTTTTTTTCTAAGAAGATGTATAATTTTGTATGTTTTTTTCTACTATAATATATCATAATAAGTTCAAATTAATAATATAATATGTATTTTATTTTAAGCCCGCGTATCTCCTAAAAGTATAGTATTTAAATGTAATTTGCTGGTACAAAACCGCGTAAGTGACTTTACACGAAATCTAAACAAGTTTCTAGTACATTTACGTTAAATTTCTATAAAATAAGTAACAAAGAAGCTGCTATAAAGTTCAGTCGGTAATATAATTATAAATTACCAAGTTATTAAGTTTTTTCTTCTTCCTGTAAAATTCTAAAAATGTAGATACGCGGTATTTACAAACTGCTCTTCCGCGGTTTTGCACGCGCAACGACGATTTGCATTGATTTGCATTGACAGCTACGCAGCGTGACCACTTGTAAATGAGGGAATCTACCAAAGACACTGCTAAAATCTACTGACATCTACTAGGTCGCATTTTAAAATCTACAAATTTTTAGAGTAATGTTTTGATTCGAATTAAAACACATTTGTTAATGAACTCTACATGTAATCAATTATTTACAACTAACATTTTTGTATTAATTGTCAATGTCATCGAATTTTTTAACATTTTTATATAACTGTTTCTCATTTTTCATTGTTTCCAACATTGAAGTACCAGGTTCACCAAACATAACATTTGTTGCACTCACAAGAACTGCACACAAAGATCTTAAGAATTCTTGACACCTTTTAAAAATATCTTGAAGCTATTGCGGGGGCATTTGATTGCGATGTAATTCTAAATGTTTGGCAAAATTAACACCCAAATACAAATTGTTTAAGGGTAAATAATTTACGGAAGAATTGGGGTCAATATTCTTCATTGATGTAGTTTTTACATATTGGCTCTTCGTATAACAGCTCAAAATGGAGACAAACATGGCTCGCATTGTGCATTTGATTGTGATGTAATTCCAAATGTTTGGCAAAATTAACACTTGATATTTAGTCTATATTCTACAACGCTAATTTCCCTTAAATTACAGTACGACGACGCTCGTGATCTAGACGACTTTTTAAAGTACCTAGCACATATTATGTATGTTATTATTAATGTTTTTAATGTATTTTTAATTATATTGTATTAAAAATTTAAGCATGGTTCATGATATTTTTTTACTTTGAATTTGTTATGTAACTAAATTAAAATGAGAGAGTTTCAAAAAAAGAAATAACTAACTAGAAACCACTAGGATCAATAACATTCAATTTAATTTTAATATATTGTCAATATAATGTATTGTCATATCAATATCTAAAATCTAAATGGGGTGTTCGACTTTCGCCGCATATTGGGAGGGCCACGGGAACGTATTCGCAAACATCCGCGGCACCACCGGAAGGCCCGCCTTCTTCCACGGCTTCAACTCCACCTGCGCCAGGAAAAATTAAAGCATTATCATGTAAAGAACGTAAATATATTGTGAGCCTCTCTGTTGAGCGAACTGTAGAAATGGCATGTGTTGAGTTTGAGCACCTCATTATTGTAAGCGTTTACAGACCCCCATGTTCTTTATATGATACTATCTGAAACGCAGCTTGATAAACAGTATAAATCTGTTGTAATATGTGGAGACTTTAATATCAATCTCCTAGAAGCTTCCTCCACCAATATTAAATTTAGATCATTGTTTAAATCTCATGGTCTTATTAATTTATTTTTGGAGCCAACACGTATTGCTCAATCTAGTGCAACATGTATAGATAACATTCACTAAATGTATAATTCAAAAATTGAGCTCTGATCACTGTAGACAATTAGTTTCATTACCTTATGTTTACAAAATGCAAATAGATAAAAAAAGTAGCGTTTGTTCCAGTAAATGCACATCGCTTGGAGAAGTTTAGAAGTAACATAGTAAAAAAAACTTCCATTACTTTCATACCAAAATAATCCAAATTTTTTGTATGGGACATTATTTAAGCTTATTTGCAATGGATTTAATAATACTTTTACTTCTAAAACATTCTCCTTGAACAATCGCAAAGCATTTAATGAATGGGCGACAGTAGGAGTCCATAAGAGTAGACAAAGGTTATATGAACTTTACAATGAAAGGTCATATAATCCTAGCGTCAAATTTAGGGAATATGTAAAAAAATATTCCAAAATATTTAAAAGAGTGTGCTCCTTAGCCAAGTCATTGTATTTGAGCAACAAAATAAAGACTGCTTCTAATAAAATTAAAATTACATGGAGTATAATTAATAGTGAAACTGGTAAGGTCAACTCTCGCAATTCAAACTACCAGTTAAGTTTTAACAATAAATTAACTAAATCAGATCAGGATGTTGCAATGGTTTTTGAGAAATATTTTAGTGATATTCCGATCTTAACCACTAAGTCACTGAATTATTCTCCTGCCGTCGCCGAATCATTACTTAAACAAAATGTAAATGTGTATACAAAGAATTTTACATTTCATAAAGTGTCATCAAAAGATATTGTAAAATATTTTAAGACTATTGATATTAAGAGAACCGCCGATCTGTGGGGGATTTCTGTTAAAGTTATTGCGTCTATAATAGATTCGATCGCACCTCAACTATCTATTATTTTTAATACAAGTATTGAATCTGGTGTGTTTCCTGATTTAATGAAGCAAAGTAAAGTAATACCTTTATTTAAATCTGGTAGTACATTGGACCCCCCTAATTTTAGACCTATTTCTGTACTGCCAACACTTAGTAAAATTTTTGAAAAAATTACGCTTATATCAAATGTTAAATTTTTTTAATGTAAATAATTTACTTCTTAAAAATCAATTTGGTTTCACAAGGGGTCGCTCGACAACTGATGCTGGTGTTGAGCTGATTTAATATATATTTGATGCATGGGAGAATTCACAGGATGCTTTGGGTATATTCTGTGACATATCCAAAGCCTTCGATTGTGTTCACCATGAAACATTAATCAGGAAACTTCAACACTACGGTGTAAGAAGCGATGCTCTTAAATTAATTATTTCATATTTAAGTGACAGAACGCAAAAAGTTGTCATTAATAGTATGAGTTCTTCCGGGTCGATTGTACAAATGGGCGTGCCTCAGGGCTCATTTCTCGGCCCTTTTCTATTTCTAGTATATATTAATGACTTACCTTACATAGTAGGGGATAACCATGATATAGTATTATTTGCTGATGATACTTCATTAATTTTCAAATTAAAACGACATTTATTAAATTACGACGAAGTAAATAATGCTACAGCTAAGTTAGTCAATTGGTTTAATGTTAATAATTTGCATTTGAATGGAACTAAAACTAAATGTATGAAATTCGTAAATCCTAATGTTAAACATGTCAATACTAATGTAATTTTAAATGGGGGGCAACTGAGTCTTGTTGATACCACCATTTTTTTGGAATCACACTGAACGCAAAGCTTCAATGGCTCCCCCATATATCAAAACTAGCTAGCAGACTTAGTTCGAGATATGCTGTGAAAAAGATTAGAACTCTTACCAGTGTTGAAACAGCTAGAATAGTTTACTTTAGTTATTTCCATAGCATTATGTCGTATGGTATTTTGCTATGGGTCACGCGACTGACACTGAAATTATATTTGTTTTACAGAAGAGGGCCATTAGAGCAATATATAATTTAAAACCAAAAGAGTCACTGAGACAAAAATTTAAGGAAATTAATATATTAACACATAAATAAAAGTAGTTTTGCGAAAATAAGTGATATTCATTCGGTAAATACCAGGAACAGACACAAGCTAGTAGTACCAGTTACTCGACTCCACCGAGTCAGTAATTCATTCTTGGGGCGATGTATACGCTTTTACAACAAAATCCCAGAAAATATACAAAATTTGTCATACACGAAGTTCAAAAATGTTATTAAACTAAGTTTGTATAAAAAGGGTTATTATAATATTAAGGAATTTATGGATGATAATAACCCCTGGGAAGGGTGATCGCTACCAAGCTATTTCTAATTTGTCTTGTGTTGTTTATTGTAAACATCATTGTAAGCTATTATTGGAAAAAAATAGTCCCGCTGGGTTTCTTGCTGGTTCTTCCCAGGACAGAGGTTTTTTTTTGCGAACCAGTGGTAAATGAAAAAAGTGACTTTCAATAAGTATTGTTATAATCTACATTGAATAAAAAAGTTTCTGTTTCTGTTTCTATTGAAATTATATTTTCAAGGACAGTATTTGGGAGATAGAAACTTTAATGCATCTGCGGAATTTCTTTATAATGCCTTAAATGACGAAACTATAAAACTATATTTATATTTCCTTGATTATATATTTACCGTTCACAAATAAATTCAACACGATTTGCCATTAACCTGTCGTGCATCGCTTGTACAATGACATGCGAGCCATATTTGTCTCCATTTTGAGCTGTTATATGAAGAGCCAATATGTAAAAACCACATCAATGAAGAATATTGACCCCAATTCTTCCGTAAATTATTTACCCTTAAACCATTTGTATTTGGGTGTTAATTTTACCAAACATTTAGAATTACATCGCAATCAAATGCCCCCGCAATAGCTTCAAGATATTTTTAAAAGGTGTCAAGAATTTTTAAGATCTTTGTGTGCAGTTCTTGTGAGTGCAACAAATGTTATGTTTGGTGAACCTGGTACTTCAATGTTGGAAACAATGAAAAATGAGAAACAGTTATATAAAAATGTTAAAAAATTCGATGACATTGACAATTAATACAAAAATGATAGTTGTAAATAATTGATTACATGTAGGGTCCATTAACAAATGTGTTTTAATTCGAATCAAAACTTTACTCTAAAAATTTGTAGATTTTAAAATGCGACCTAGTAGATTTCAGTAGATTTTAGCAGTGTCTTTGGTAGATTCCCTCATTTACAAGTGGTCACGCTGCGTAGCTGTCAATGCAAATGTTAATCGTATTATAACTTGTTAGCATTAAATTGCTCATTTTCAATCATGAAGACGGTATTTTAGTAAATTCTTTTAAAAACTAGAAAGGGTAATTATTATTGCCACAATTTACGTAATAATGCAATCGATATTCATGATCTTACAGGCTCAAAAGCGCATAGAAAGGAATATTATACATCGAAAAAATAGTAGACTGTCTGCTTTTGACAATATACGAAACTTGCCCAAATGTGAAGTGCCCGACCCCGTGTCTGAGAGTCAGAAAGAGGTGGAACACAAAAGAATGCAGTTGGAGAAATGGAAAGAAGAAAAGGGGGAAAAAAGAAAAAAACTGCTGCACAATGAAAAACTTTTTTGTTGCTGGTATTGTGCACCCCCCATTAAAATATGTTCCACCACCTCTACCTAGACCAATGCCTAGTACATCAGGAAGAGTTTCTCAGTCTATTAGATCAAATTGTCAAATTACACAGAAAAATTCCAAATGCTCAAAATCAACCAAACCTTTACATTCATTTAAAATGCAAAATAACCTACATAGTTGACATCAAATTATTTATTTTGCACTTTGTTTAACACTGAAAATTGCAGCCCAGAGAACAAGTTACCAAAACTCACGCACACTAGTAGTTAATAAAGCCTTCTTTTTGCTAACATCTAGCACTACTGGGTCAAATGTTGTATCAATTTTTTTTCTCTTATTTTGTACCCTTGACAAAGTAGGAAGTTTTGTTATAATTTTTAGCTCCGGAGGTTTAAATGATGCATTACTTGGTGCAAATGAATGTAAAGGTTTGGTTGATTTTGAGCCTTTGGAATTTTTCTGTGTAATTTGACTATTAGTTCTAATAGACTGAGAAACTCTTTCACTGTACTAGGCATTGGTCTAGGTGGAGGTGGTGGAACATATTTTAATGGAGGGTGCACAATAATAGCAACAAAAGGTTTTTATTGTGCAGCAGCTTCTTTCTATTTTTTTCTCTTTATCTTCTTTCCATTTCCCCAACTGCATTCTTTTGTGTTCCACCTCTTGCTGACTCTCAGACAATGGGTCAGACACTTCACATTTAGGCAAGTTTCATATACTGTCAAAAGCAGAGAGTCTACTACTTTTTCAACGATGTATCATATTCCTTTCTAAGCACTTTTAAACATGTAAAATCATGAATATCGATTGTAATATTATGGAAATTGTGACGATAATAATTACCATTTTTAGTTTTTAAAAGAGTTTACTAACATACCATATTCATGATTGAATATGAGCAAATTAATGGTAACAAGCTATAATACGATTAACATTTGCATTGACAGCTACGCTCAGAATTTGTGTAGGTCTAGGTTTGTGCATATGCTTCTTCTCTTGATTCTTCAATAAAGAAACCATATCAACTCTTACAGGTTCAAAACCGCTTAGAAAGGAATGTTATACATCGAAAAAGTAGTAGACTGTCTGCTTTTAACAGTATGTGAAACTTGCCTAAATGTGAAGTGCCTGACCCAATATCTGAGAGTCAGAAAGAGGTGGAGCACAAAAGAGAGCAGTTGGAGAAATGGGAAGAAAAAGAGAAAAAAAAGAAGCTGCTGCACAAAAAAAACCTTTTGTTTCTGGTATTGTGCCCCCCCCCCCTTTAAAATATGTTCCACCACCTCCACCTAGACTAATGCCTAGTATATCAGGGCGAGTTTCTCAGTCTATTAG